TTTCTTTCCAACTGATTCTTGTCCCAAACATAGTGAACAAATATCCAGAAACAGATTTTCTAGAATCCATACAACCTGCATAATCAGAGTCGACATATCCTTCAATTGCTGCTTTACTATCTTCACCAAAGGCTCCACCATAAATTAGGACTCTATTCAGAAACCCATTTATGTACCTTAGAATCCACTTCAATGTTTTCCAATGAGCCTTTCCAGGATTCGTCATGTACCTGCTTACAAGACTTACTGCATATGCTATATCGGGTATAGTACAGACCATAACATACATCAAAGAACCCACTATATTAGCATATGGAATGCTATTCATATAAATTCTTTCGACATCAGTGATGGGACACCGATCTATACTTAGCTTGAATTGAAGGTTTGTCAGAGTCACAACAGGCTTTGAATTTGACATACCAAACATTTCGAGAATCTTCCGTACGTATGCCTGTTGAGATAAGCATAATCTCAACTGCTTTCTATCTCTTCAAATGTCAATCCCATGAATCCTGGATGTAGCTCCCAGATCCTTCATGTCGAACTCCTTGTTAAGTTCAGCCTTCACCCTTATTACATCTTCGACATTGTTGCTTTCTATTAGAATATCATCCACATAGAGTACCAAAATAACAAATGAATTACCCTGTCAAAATCTGAAGTAAACACAATGGTCGAACTGACTTCTGATGAAACTTATGTGTGCCATAAACTTGTCGAATCTCCTATTCCACTATTGAGGAGATTGTTTCAGTCCATATAAAGATCTTTTTAGTTTTCCCACATAATCGTCCTTCCCCTTTTTGACATACCCTGGTCGTCTCATCAGGATTGTTTAATCTAAATCACCATACAAGAACGTAGTCTTCACATCCATTTGTTCCAGTTCAAGGTCGAACTGGGCCACGATGACAAGCAACATTCGAATGGATCTGTGCTTCACAATAGGAGAGAACACATCATTGAAGTCAACACCTTCTTTTTGAGTAAACCCCCTAGCAATCAATCTTGCCTTGTATCTCTTCGACATCACTCCTTCGGTTCCTTCCTTAACTCTGAAAATCCATTTACATTTTACTAACATGGCTCCAACAGATTTCTTGATCAATTCCCAGGTATTGTTATTATGAAGAGATTTCATCTCAACATCCATGGCCTTCAGTCATTTAGTCTTCTTTCGACTCCTCATAACTTCTTTATAGTATCTAGGTTCTTCGTCTAGAACCTCACTTGCAGAGATTAAGGCATAAGCTATAAGATCTGCATACCCAAGTTTCTGAGGTGGTTTGATAATTCTCCTCGACCTGTCTCTTGCTAGTATATAGTCATTATCAGTTTCCTTATCTTTGACAACATTTTCTGCGTCTTCTTCGACTTCATCTGGGGTATACAATTAAGCATCAACATGCTCCACCTCAACAGGAATCTCTCCATGTTCCAGCTCTTTGTTAGCATCATCAGTTTTTTTGAAAGTCATCTCTGCTTCATTGAAAACTACATCTCAACTGGTGACACACCTCCTGTAACCTGGCTCTAGGCACCATAGCCTGTAAGCTTTGACTCCTTCAGGGTATCCCATGAACATGCATTTCAGAGCTCTAGATTCGACCTTGTCTTGCCTAATATGAGCATAGGCCATATAATCAAATACTCTTAGTCTGTAGAGACTAGGTGGATGTCCCAACCAAACTTCTTCAAGTCTCTTCATTCCTAAGGCAGTCGAGGGACATCTATTTATCAGGTAAGTTATTGTCGAAACAACCTCCGCCCAAACACCTTCTTCAATCCAGCACTAACCAACATGCATATAACCCTTTCAAGGATTGTTCGATCGAATCTCTCAGCTAAGCCATTTTGTTAAGGAATACCTGCTACAGTCTTATGCCTTGCAATCCCAGACTCAACACAGTAACTGTCGAACGCTTCGTTGCAGAACTCAAGGCCATTGTCGGTTTTCAACCTCTTGACCTTTCTGCAAGTTTGAGTTTCGACCTGAATCTTTCAACTTTTAAAATTCTCAAAAGTTTCATCCTTCGTCTTCTGAATGAATACCCATAGCTTTCTGGAATAGTCATCAACGATGGATAAAAAATATCTTACACCTGAGTGTGAAGGATTCCTTGCAGGCCCCGAAAGATCAACATGAATGTAATATAGGGATCCATGTGTTCTTTGCTTGCCTTTGTTAAACTTCTCTCTAAAGGATTTACCAAATATGCAAGATTCACAAAACTCCAACTTTTCAACTTTGTCACCACCTAATAGATTTTGCTTCTCCAATTCGACCAGGCCTCTTTCGTTGACATGTCCCAATCTCATATGCCATAATTATGTCTTTGACACAGGTTTTTGTGGATGCAATATTTGTCAAACCACTTACAACCTCAGCCTCAAGGGTATACAAGCCTTGTTTCTTCACGCCTTTCAAGACTTCCTTCGACCCCTTCAAGACTCTTAGGATATTTTTCTCTCCTTGAAAAATATATCACTTTCTGTCGAATTCACCAAGAAAAATCAAATTTCTCTTAAAGTCAGGTACATACCTGACTTCAGTTAATAACCTTATTGAATCATCATGGAGCTTGAATCTCACAGATCCAATACCTGCAATTTTGCAAGACTTGTTGTTTCCCAACAACACCGATCCACCATCTTGATCACATAACTCCTCGAACAATTCTCTGTTTGGAGTCATGTGCCAAGTACAACCTGAATTCATAATCCACTCTTTTCTTGAGTCGCCACTTGAAACCACAAGAACATTAGATGAGTCGAAGTCATCTTTAACAATGGATGAGTTGCCATTACCTCCATGATCTTTCAGACATTTAGGGCACACCTGTCTTATGTGACCCTTCTTCTTACATAAGACTTTTGTTTACTTTTACCTTTCTTCTTGTCGAACTTACCATTCTTTCGCAAAAATTTTCCCTTAACGATCAAACCTTCGCCCACTGCCGAAGGTTTATGCTCCTTTTGTCCGTTCAAGTCCTTAGAATACAAGGATGATTGAACTTCTTCAAAGGTCAGAGATTCCCTTCCATATAAGATAGTTTCTTTGAAGTGAGCATGTGTTATGGGCAAAACACACAACAACAACTATGCTTGATCTTCATCATCGATCTTCACATCAATATTTTCAAGATCAAGAATCACCTTATTGAACATATCCAACTGCTCAGCCAAAACTTTGTCTTCACTCATCTTGAATGAATACAAAGCTTGCTTCAGGTATAGTCGATTCACCAGGAATTTGATCATGTACGAAACTTTTAAGTTTCATCCATAACCCCGATGTTGTAGTCTCCTTTGATACCTGTTAAAGAACCTTATCACCAAGGCTCAACAATATTAGGATATGGACTTTCTCAATCATGCAACGTCCATGGTTGTCTCTCCCTTCAACGCTTTTAAACAATCCTACTGAACCAATAGAGCTTTCATCTTCAAGCGCCACAGACTGAAGTCGTTCACTCCGGTGAACTTTTCAATCTCATACTTTGTTGAAGACATCTTTTCCATGCTCACCACACCACTTTGTTGTGAATTAGATGTCTTTAAACAAAGTATAAATAATTTCTTCTTGATCAAGAAACACACAATGGTTAGGGTTAACAAAGAAAACAAGGTAAAACAACAAGGAACAACAAGGATTGGTTATAAACTGACATTCTTTCCTTAGTCTTAGAACATGATTACAAGTATACAAGAATAACAAAATAACCTCTCTCTCTTGAAATTAGGGTTTTATCTTCCTATTTTTCCTTTTTCCAAGATTGAGAAACTAGCATCCTATTTATAAGAAAAATAACACACTAACCTAATGAGATTTTTGACAATTATCCATTACAAGTTAACTTAGGGTACAAGTTAACTTAAACAATTAGGCTTACAAGTAAGACCCAATTCAATATGCTAACAACCCTAGCAATATTGCCTAATGCATGTTAGAACAAACTTCGACTATAACATGCATTACTCGGGCAGCAACATGTGAACAAACTTCGGCCTCATGCTTAATTCCTGTCGAACCAGAAGCTATCTTTCGACCACACTAGAGTTCGATCCAATCTCTCACATAATTTAAATTCAATTTCAAGTAAATCAAGTGACAAATGATAATTTGAATATATGTACTTGCACTCACAGGAAATGATGATGGTAGAAAGTTCTTCAATGGAAGGTTCTTCAAAGTTTTCCAATGTTACTTACTGATTTCACAATGATGTTTTGGTTATGTTGGTTGATGTTATTAGATTTATTTGACTTTTTTTAATGTTACTACATGTAATTATTTATGTTGGAAGGATTAGTTTAAACTTAGATTTCATATGATTCTTGAAAGAATTAATTTTAACTTTAGTTAAACAATTTGGTTGTATTAATGTTATTGAATTTGCTTTAGTTTTAAAGAAAATATGCGTTCTAATAGTAATTTTGAATGCATTCTAACAATTTAAATTGTAAATTTTTAGAAGTCCAATATAGACCCATTTTTTAATTAAAAAAATGACTTAAAAATGTATTTTGTCCATTTTTAAAATTGGGTCATCCTTGATCCAAATAAAAATATCTATTAATTTTCATTTTACCTAAATCTGTAAATTTAAAAAAACGAACCTAAATACAACCTAATCCGAAAACCCTAAATTTCAATTCAATCAAACACAAATTAAAATTTTCCACCCGATTTAGGGGTTTTGGCCCAAACCCAAATCAGCCCGATCCGGTCTCCCGCCAACTAAATGGTACTAGTATTTAATAAAGCATGAATTCAAATCTAAATCCGAACGTATTGATGTGTTCACATGACTCGTCCCTGGGTAGCGTACGCCAAAAAAGTCAAAAGCCATACGTACGCAAAACAAAAAGATTCTCATCCTCCACCTTCTCTCATCTCTTTACTATAAATACAACTCCCCGCCACACTGATACTTACAATCTCCATTCTCCAACTCTCAATCCCTCTCACCAACACCAATTCCTTCTATCCTTCAATGGCCATAAAGTTCATAGTCTTTCTCACCATCGTAGCACTTGCTTTGTTCCTTCTCCTCTCCCACTCCTCCCTAAACAACTACGCCGCCCATCCACACGGCTGCCTCGACCTCCATTCCGACTGGGAGGACAACATCGACTTCGATCTCACCAACAACATCGACTTCAATCTTACCAACAACATCATACGTGTGTTCCCTGAAATTGATATAAACCCTACTGATAAGTACATCTCGGTCCACGAACTTACTCAGTGGAAACTCCATCATGTCCAAACTAAACAATTCCGTCGTAGCAAGAAGGAGATGATCATTTACGATAAGAATCTCGACGGTTTTGTCTCCTTCGCCGAGTTCGAGTACGGTCTTTCCACTCCACCGCAAAAGACAGGTTCCTTTCCTTCTACACTTTCCGTTTCTTGTTTTGTTTTTCGAAATGATCTCTTTGCTTGAATTTTAATTGAGTTTGAGTTCTTAGTTTCTCACTATTTTATTCAATTTCCCACTAAAATCCAAACGCGCCACACATTCGTTCATCCACCGGAAACGGAACAACCCCGCCGCCTCCACCGTATGCCCCACTCTCTATCGCTGCTTTCACCATCTACTTCTTCCCAGCCATTAGCTAAACTTCGCACCAGCCATCACTCATTTGGAGTTTCAACGTGGGTTTCAGAAATCCCACTATTTTCCTTTCTCGATTTGAAGGCTTTTAGGATTCTCTTCATGGATCGGCTCATGGGATTTTAGGGTTGAGGTATTCTAAATTTGTTCGGATTCTTTTTCGATTTTTGTTGGTTTGTTGAAAATTAGGTTTTTGGTTGAATCTAAGTTGAGGCTGTTGAGTTTCTTGCCTTTAGGGTTTCGGGATTCTTAATTTTTGGAATATTAGAGGTTCTTTTGCTATTTATATATTTGGAAATAACCCTTTTGGTTGAATCTAAGTTGAATCTGAGTTTTGAATTTCTTGCCATTAGAGTTGAGAAATTCATAATTTTTGGAATCTTAGAGGTTCTTTTGCTATTTATATATTTGGAAATAAGCTTTTTGTTTGAATCTAACTTGAGTATGATGTTCTGAATTTTGAGTTTTGAGTTTCTTGCCATTTTGGGTTGAGGGGTTCTTAAATTTTTTGAGAAATTTCATAATTTTTGGAATCTTATAGGTTCTTTTGCTACTTATATATTATTTGGAAATAAGCTTTTTGGTTGAATCTAAGTTGAATCTGAGTTTTGAGTTGAGTTTCTTGCCGTTCTGGGTTGAGAGATTCCGAACTCTTCTTTTTGTGAAATTTCGTAAGTTTTGGAATCTCTTAAGGTTCTTTTGCTATTTATAGATTTGAAAATATTCTTTTTGGTTGAATCTAAGTTTAGTATAAGTTCTAAGTTTTGAGTTTCACGCTAATAGGGTTGACGGAGTATTATTCTTTTTGAGGTAAATTTCATAATTTTGAATTGAATATTGTAATTCTTGTTTTTCATTCATCAGATGGTGATTCTTTTGCCTATGATATGAGAGTGTTGGAAGAAGAGCATTTTAATGCATCTGATACAAATGGAGACGGTCGTCTAAGCTTACCCGAATTCCATGAGTGAGCTTCTTTCTATCTGTGTGGTGAATCAATGGTGATCCTTTTACTAATTTTGTAAAAATGTCTTGTAGTTTTCTTCACCCGGCTGACAGCAACAACACAAAGCTTCAACAATGGCTATGCAGGGAGGAAGTCTGGTAACTCCCATCTTGCTTGTTAGATATATATACACATCATAACCTATATGAAAGAATCAAAGTAAATATGTCATCCAGCCATGATATTCTATGCAATTATCTGTCTCTTCTAAAAGAAGTTACGATATTGGAATAACATTTTAAAGATTGGTGTCGAGTATTAGAAACTTGAACAGTATTTGTTTTGGTTAATCTTACTTTTCTGAAGGGAATGGAAAATCTTTGGTTTATATACAATAAGCTTATTTGAATACTGCTTTGGTGTACTCTTGCTTGATGTAACCTTTTATTTCTTTATAGGGAACGTGACACCGACAGAGATGGGAAGGTCAGTTATATAGAATTTTTGAATGGGATCTTTGTTTCCATAAGATCCTATGATGAAGAAAATTACATTTACTCACATCATTCTGATGAATCAAAGAATGCTTACGCCAAAGTTGTGTTTTCTCAGCTTGACAAAGATGGTGACGGGTATTTACCGTTATCTTTTCTTATAATTATTCTACTTTCTTAAAATCAATATGATAGTTTCCCTATTATTTAGTACTATCCATTGTTGTCTTGGTGTTTTCAACTTCCATTCAATTTGTGCAGGTATTTGTCAGCTATTGAATTACTGCCTATAATTGGGAAAGTCCATCCATCCTGGCGTTATTATGCAAGGAAGCAGGCGGAATACTTTGGTTCCCAGGTATTGAATTCAACATTACAGTAATTGCACTCTAATTGTTGACAGAGTTCATTCCTTTCTTACAAGTCATCAAAACATGTGAATTATTTTTGTTATCACATTGCATTTCATATTTTTAATCAGCAAGCTAATTTTTGTATTGTATATGGTATATCAAATCACTATATTCTGGAGCAGTATAAAAACTAATTTGAATTAGAAATTAACTAAATAACTCAATGTTAATTGTTAATTATGTCACAAGTGCAAATGAATACAGCGCTAAATGTGTAGTGATAAGATGTGTACCAATGATTGAGCAAGAAACTATGCAACATCTGTTGAATAACTTGCTTTAATTTCAAGAGTAACCTTTCTATATGTTATGATGACAGGCACGAGTTGGCAAATATGGGCGCCTTAATTTGAATGAGATGATTAAGTATGCAGATATATTGTACGCTGCCATTTTCCGCGATGAGTCCTATTAAGTAAGGACAGTTGCCATTTTCCGCGATGAGTCCTATTAAGTAAGGACAGTTCTACCCTAACCTACCTTCAATGGAAATTTTCAATACAGTTCGGTGCTGTGCTAGACTCACGATGGGCAGTGCAGCAAGTGAAGTTTTGTTTTTTTGTTATGTAGCCTTAGTAAAATCAAGTCAGTAACTAGTTGATCTTTTGAGTATTTCTTATTTTATTATTATGCATAATGTTTCTTTTGGTGTCTGAATTTTGTGGCTTGGGTCCAAACTCTGAAATTTTGATTGCTCTTTCTTTAGCATGTCTTGTGCTTATAGTAGTAATGAGCATTTGGCAAAGATATTGAGTATCATGAGCTGACTCTGAATGAATGTTGATCTTCTGATTTTCCTTTTTATCTTTCGGTATCATGTGAGGGATTTGTTTGAGAATATTTTTTTCTTTGCTTGGTTTTTCTTTTGGGTCCTAGGTGATCAACCTCTGAATTGAATTTGATGAATTTCTATATTTAGTTTTTAATTAATGTGAACACTGCAAATTCCCATATCAAAAGACACTCATTTTACATTAGTATGTATTCCACTTCTAATCTTAAAGAGAACTAAAACTAGTTTCATATAAATATTAAAAAATGAAAGTAACTAAAGTTAGAGTTCGGATCCATTTCAGTTCTTAATTCTTCGTGTTCTTCAATTCGATTAACTGATGCATGATACGTGGTATTGAAAAAATTAACAGTTGAGATTTAAAAATATTAAATTTAAAATTTTAACATATTTTTTCTTTCTCAACCTACGATTTCATTTTATTCACTTCAGTTTTTCTCATTCGTTTCCTCCACTAAGCTTCTTCTTTCTTCAAACATATTTTCTCTCTTTATATCTGCTCCCGTCACATTTTTGATGTTTCTTCCATGAGTTCCAAATTGTAAATCAGATTGAAAAACAATTATTAGTCCCAAATTGTAAACTAAATTGTAAAATAATCATTTTTGTCTCACATAAGTCAGATTATTTCACATAAGTCAGATTGTTCACATAAACTAAATTGAACCTGCGATAAAATTGAACCTACAGTGAAATTATAAAGCGATAAAATTGAATCTACAGTGAAATTATAAACCTACAGTATAATTGAATCTGCGTTTTTTTTATACTAAAAGTTAGTAGTGAAACATAAAAGAACAATCCAAGATAATCACATCAGAACCATTAAGTTGTAATGCCACATAGCAAATAGTATTTTGTATTAATTTTCAATTTGATTACAACTAAAATTGAGTGAAACTCTAAAATTACATAAGTTTTTTATCTATAAGATTGTATATTAAAATTTCAGCTTAAAACTAATTACATTTAAATCATCCTTAAAATTGAATTCTAATAATCCTAAAATTGACGGTGTCAGCGATCAAAAATCTTCAAATTCAGATTTTAAGCTGTTGCTAAAAAACTTCAAAATATGACGGTTTCAACGACGACGAAAAACATGTTGATGTTGGTGACGGCGAAAAATACAACGGTGTCGGCGACTCAGAGAAGAAACATCAATAACGTGACGGTGGCAGAGATGATGAGAGAAAATACGTTCAGAGAGAAGAAGTTTAATGGAGAAAACCAATGATAAAAACTGAAGTGAATAAAATGAAGAAAAAATAATATATTGAAATTTTTAATTTAATATTTTTTAAATCCCAACCCTTTAAATTTTCAATACCATGTGTCATGCATCGGTTAATCGAACTGAAAACTGGAGGAATTAAGAATTGGAGTAGAGTCGAACTCCTACACTTAGAGGATGTCTATGGTTAATTTTAAAAACTAAATTATAATCATTTGTAAATTATTTAAACAGAGTATTTATAACCTTCATATCTTAATCAAAAATAATTATAAAATTGATTATAAGTTTGATTATATTACATAATCATAATTTTTTTATACAAATTCAATTTTTATCGATTATCTTCTTAGAACTATTTTTAAATCGGTTATCTTCTTACAACTATTTTTAAATCAATTGTTTATAAAATCAGTTATTTTTCAATTAAAAATTGAATTTTTTTTCCAAAACTGAGTTTCAAAAGTCAATCTTTTTTAAAATGATTTTAAGTGTTTATTTTACCTATTGTACCAAAAAAAAGTCGTCAACTTTTATGCTATATCACATTACAATTTTTTTTTAAATAAACAATTCTTTTTATCTCAATAGCTATCTCTCTTTATTATTAATTAAAATACTTACTTTTTTAAATAAATAAAAAATTGTAATAAACATAAGGCGTCGTCATTAATAAAGGGCCAAGACTCCCAATGCATCAATGTGACATATGATATTAAATTATAATCCTATAACATCTCTAATAAAAATTTCCGGTCAAAATTCCAACCAAAATTTCACAATAATAAATAAATAAAATCAAAAATAACTAAAAACCATTTATTTACACATCACTAATTAATTAATTAAATAAAAAATAATCTCTTCTCTCATTTCATTCTCACATTTCCACGTTATCATAAATTCATGACTCATCTCATTAACTTCTCATACCCCTTATTTTTACAAATCCACATCATCATAAACTCATGACTCATCCCATATCATCGTAAACTCGTGACTCATCCAATTAACTTCTCATACCCCTTTATTTTTACAACTCCTTTAAAATAGTATAACCTCGTATGTTCTATTAATTAAATTAAATTAAATAATTAAATAATATTCTTTTTACATTGTAGACAACTAAAAATTTAAAACCTGTGTCATTGATTATTGAATTGCAAATATTTTTTAACTTTAAAATTGTAAAACTAAGATGATAAGAATTGAACACAAGGACTATATCATAAAGAAACAAAGTTTTGCCGTTTGACACATTTCATTAATTATATGTAATTTTAGGCCCACTTTTTCATCATTTAAGGTCCAAAAAGATGAGGCCTAAAGCCCTTGCCTTATTGACCTTGGGCATGGACCGACCCTGATTTTTTTATTTAATTTTATTAAAAGAAAGTTAAAATAATATTTAACACGATTCTATGTTTAAAATATGCTACATTGACTGCATAAAAACAGAAAGATGTTAAATTTGTTTAATAAAAGACTTTAAAAAAATTATATATCTTTCACTTTAAAATTTTGACAAAAATTCAAACATTAATTATCAATCATAACACATCTTAATAAAAAAAAGAAAAACATATACACGGGTTCCTTTTAAGTTATTTTTTTTAACAAGACAATCTTTTATGTTTTTTCCCTACTAACATGTCTCATTTGTTTTTAAATTATAACAATCAGATCCTTCAAATTTTGTCTGTTGTACAAATTACAATCTTACTATAATAAAATTGATATAGAATTGCAACAAGTGTTACATGAAGTTATCAAAAGTCATGTCTTACGACACTAACATCAAAATTAACTAAGGATCACAAACAAACTCGGGCCCGCCCCGAAATTAACGGGAAAAATACGATTTAATTGGGTGCGGGTTGTCACTAAGACCCGCACCCGCACCGCCCCTAAATAATGTATTTTGGAAGGTGAAGATAAGTTGAAAATGGGGGAAGAAGTGACTTTTTCGCTTCTGTCCCATTTTTTATTTCTCAGGACCCGTGGCGAACGCCACCCTTCCATGGCGAACACCATATTTTGTGGCTAGGCAGATGAGTTTTGGTTCTGGATTTTAGGCTTCTGGGGGCGTTTGGGTGAGTTTCCGGAGGTGTATGGCCTTTCTTTGAAGGTTATACTTTGTTAGAATGCTAAAATTGAAAAAATTTGAAGCTTGCATAGGGGTTAGAAATAATGCTAGCAAAGATTGTAATAGGAAAAAAGATTAAAATTAATCCGAAAAATAATAAGTAGGTAGAATTGAAAATAATACTGAAAATTAATGTCACTAATGGAAAAGAATAATAGTTGAAAATAAATCTAATTGCGGTAAATAAGTCTGATGGACGAAAAATTAAATCTAGTGACGAAAAATTAAATCTAGTGACAGTGAATTAAATAATGATGGTAAGAAATAAATACTCCCCACACATAAACTAAGTAATGTCTTCAATGCTTCCAACGGATCAGGTGTGAAGGAGACTCGTGGAGAGTCGACTAAGTAGACTTACGCGAGCGATCTTGAGACTGATGTGGACAAGATGCCTGAGCTTCTGTGACCTGACGTCAAAGTCTGTAGATCTCCTAGCAAAGGTAGTCTGTTTCTTTGGCATGAGTGGCATTAGCCACTTCCATCTATAAAGTGAGGTCAGTAAATTCTTTGTGGAATGTATCAAGCTTCTGGCGCATGGTGTTGAGCTTATAGTCGATGTTACGTCTTTGTATATTGACATTAGAGGAAAATGCAGTGGTCATATTTGAGGGAGGTAAAGGGTGGTACTCTGGAATAAGGGGGTGGCTGGTCTGGCTAGTGTCTCTCCTTGGTCCTCTAAAGCATAAGACAAGTTCTCCATTGGTCCTTTCGGGGTGTGGTAAAGAGAAATAGTGAATGACTTCAAAACTAATGAGTAGTTTGAAGTGTTTAGTGCTAAAGAAGGTTCGTCTCACCAAGCCGCGCTCTAGAAAATGGTTCATATCTATTAGGGTGTAGCCACAACGAGGAACTAAGTGAGAAATTTGGTTCATGAGACCCAGGGAATAAGCAATATGAGTAACAGTCCCATTTACATGGATAGGTCCCTATATAGATTTTGCAATACACTCTAAGTTCTCTATAAGGAAGGTTCCAAATTCAACAAGACGGGATTGAGTGATGCAAAAGAGAATAAAATGTCCTTCGTGCTGACAATCTCACAGTTTTCACTTCTTCCGGAAAAGGTTTGGCCTAGTATAATTTGAAAGCACCTAAATGTCGGGTTATGGATACGGTTGGAAATTTGGGTGGATGGGTCGGGGCTTCCTCTGCCGGTAATATTTTTCCAAAAAGTGTATGTCTCTTCCTGCATGAATTCACAATTAGGAACATTAGCTACAACATCGAGGTCACACGTAA